TCTCCCACTGCATCACTTCATCTTGCTCCTCCAGCCGTTTCAGAATGAGGTGACTTCTGGCTCTGAAGCCCTGTACAATTCGCTCCAACGAGAACTGTCGACACGGACCAATCAGAAAAAAAAGAAGCCACTTCAATGGAGGGAGCGGTGGGTGTACCATCGGTTGAGATTGGGAGTGATGAGAAATCCACAAAAATCCACAAAAGGGCTGTAACAATGGCAACAATCCACCCTGACCAGAGCCACGTTGGTAGGGAGTGTTCATTTTCTTGGTAGCGATGGCTCTGTAACACATGCTTTTCATTGTCATTTGTGAACCAGTGAAGTGGAGTTCCTACCAAAGGAGCCTCCATTGTTAGGAAAATTGCACCCTCTCTTGGTCTGGCTCAGGCCTCAAATTACTGACACTCTAGGATTACCAGAACTAACAAGGCATGAAAAATGGTTACATCTATGTGAATCTTAAACTTGGGTCTTTTTAAACAAAGTGCCATACAGTAGAAAAGTCTGAAAATTAGACCTCTAGAAATCCAAAATTTAGGAGGTCATACGTTCTGAAATTCAGAGAAATCACCCCTCCCCGGCTCAGTTTGTTTCTTAAATGCAAGTCTGAATGCAACTTATTTCATAAAGGAGGCATGCACTTTTCAAAACGTTGAATGCTAGCGTTAGAATATTCCGTGTTCTCTAGCAGGTGACTATTTCATGAATGAACATGCAATTGCAGCTGTCTGAGGCAGAAGAATACCACGGATTCCAGGTCAAGTCACGTTTTACAAGCAATTATAATAAAATGTATTTGGGTCATTCTATAAATCTAGAGTCCGAAAAGCTGGCATTCTAGGTGTCCCCGTCACACCTGACCTGTGGTATTTGACTCCAAAATATCACTGAAATTGACTTCCAAATATATGTATTTGGTTGTCAGGTAATTTGCATGGCTTAATCACTCCTGGAAATTAAAGAGAGTGTTCTAGGCTTACAAAATCACGTGTCAGATGTGACAGCGACCCAAATTATACAATGACCCTTATGGTTCCTCCTATTTCCATGAAAGCCATGCAAGTAAATTGGGACAAGGATGAAATGTGGGGATATGGGTAATTCCAGAATTAGGGGTCCTAAAGAGTGACATTTTGGTGTCCCTGTACCATCTGACCTTTGTCATTTGGCAAGGAAATATCACCGGCATTGATTTCAAACTATTACTATTTGTTTGGCAGGTAATTTGCATTAATTCATTACTCTTGGAAATTCAAAAATGTGTTCTGAACTTACAAAATCATATGACAGATGTGACAGGGACCCAAAAAAAAAAAAATGGACCCCTAATTTCTGGAATTACCATACGCATATGTGTATGCACTTGTAAATGTCATGTGGTAACATTCATTGCCAAGAAATGATGGAACAGGATTTTACATTAATCTGAACCCCCCCCCAAAAAAATAATGCACAGATGATCAGAAATTGGGGGAGAGGGATAAAATAAAGCAATGCCAAAAACCAAATGAGGATTTTCTTAAATAAACACAAATGGTACAGAAGTTCTATGATGTCACATATACCACAGGTGAATTCTTGGAACCTAAATGCGTCTTAAAGGAGTACAGCTGTTGAAATATGATTTTATCCATTGAGTAATTACAATTAATGTGTATAATAATAATAATAATAGAAAATTGATCATGCATCTGTGGTGGTTGAGTTTATTCAACAGAAGTTGGTATGGTTTGCGGGATACATGCATGAAGTCAGCATTATATCAGGAGAGGGCTTTGTCCCCAAAGAGATGCTCATTTCACAAAGATGACACAGGAAGTTTGGGACGATAAAAAACACCAGGATGAGTCGATCTGAACACCGTGAATTGCATGCATGTGATTTGTAAACCGACTGTGGCTGCATTCATCACACATGCAATGGATGAATTGCGGTGCGGACCGAGTGACATGCAGAAACGTACCAAAGTGTTCAGAAATTGATTGTAGACCTGTGCAGAGGCCGCACAGACTTGGCTGGAGATAGAAGGACTAGACGAGAAGAGTGAAGTCTGCTGACTGGTGGACTGACGAACGAGGCCGAGTATAATGTCAAACAAGGAGAACATTAACATGAACATACAAGATATAAACTGTCAGTATACAGCCTCGGCGAGCGTTCACTGGTCTCTAGCTGTGTCGCAAAGAGCAAACTTGATTGCATATAAAGAACGAGCCTGCAGATGTGAAAGGTGATTTGCTCGTGCCCACAGTACAATGTGATTTGTTTTATCTATGGTTGCCCACGTAGGACATGAAGGAACAAACGTGTTTGGCCACCATCTTGTCCCAATCTTGTCCGAATTTTCCAAACAGTGGAAGATTCCAATATCAATACATGTACTTTGCCTCATGGTAACCCAACCTCTACTGATTACGAGCCACCACTGGCCGATATCAAACCTTTGCCATTTTCCAGTTCCAATAGTTCAGCTTAAACACTTTGCAAAATGGGCATAGTTTCAGTTGCATAAGAATGACACCAACTACACACCAGGGTTTGAGATATCGCAAGTACTAAATTTGTACCCTATGAGAAAAGACTGACAGACAACAAAACACAAATGCTACAATAAAGGAACAGATGCAAGAAACAAGAAAAGTGCACTTTGTTGGATATTTGGTGAGCTACTGCACCATGGACTTTCAACGTTTACTCTTTGTTCATCTTTTTAATGAGGTTTTCCTATCACTTGTCTTGCATATATATAAGGGCTACAATGTTAATGTTGTACGTCACGTTCAATTTACTTCAATGACGCATTGTTGCTTACATCCTAAGCACCACACCAGCACACATGATGTTGAACACTGTTTAAGGTGACAGACATGTCTTAAATTGTGTTACCTACCAACGGTGGGCTGGTGTGTAACTTCCTAGACGGTGGCCTATCTACTTGCAGAGTCTCTCCATCAGCCGCTGATTTGGCCCTCCTGAAACCAGACAGATGTGCTGGTACTGACATTGGTCTCCTGCGTCCAGTTAGAGGAGCTTCATAGTTGTCCTCCGCTGGTTCAGAGTCAACCACCTGGGAAATCAGATGTGGATCTTGTGAACAGGGGTAACATTGCTTCAGCTTGAAAACAGAATTTTGAATTCTATACACCTCAAGGCAACATTCCATTTATATGTATCTTGTTATGTCACTGTAGCACTGCGTTTACTCTTCTGAGCACCTTTGGTTCCTGCATGATTGTCTCCCATACAACACCAGACACCTATCTACACCTTTGGTTCCTGTACAGGTGTCTCCTACACTGCAGTGTATACCTTTCTGTGCACCTTTGGTTCCTGTACAATTGCCTATGCTGTAGTGTATACCTTTCTGTGCACCTTTGGTTCCTGTACAATTGTCTATGCTGTAGTGTATACCTTTCTGTGCACCTTTGGTTTCTGTACAATTGTCTATGCTGTAGTTTATACCTTTCTGTGCACCTTTGGTTCCTGTACAATTGTCTATGCTGTAGTGTATACCTTGCTGTGCACCTTTGGTTTCTGTACAATTGTCTATGCTGTAGTGTATACCTTTCTGTGCACCTTTGGTTCCTGTACAATTGCCTATGCTGTAGTGTATACCTTTCTGCACACCTTTGGTTTCTGTACAATTGTATATGCTGTAGTGT